ACTCATCATGGCACTCAATGAGTCAGTATAGTCACAACTCATCATGTCACTCAATGAGTCAGTATAGTCACAACTCATCATGTCACTCAATGAGTCAGTATAGTCACAACTCATCATGGCACTCAATGAGTCAGTATAGTCACAACTCATCATGTCACTCAATGAACCCAGCCCATGTAGTCACATTTTACCCATAATTCTTTGTTTTACATTCTCATATTAACCAGTGGGGAGTGCTTGTAATAAGCCAAGATGGCATTGAGAATGTGGTACGACTTCATATATTAAAATTCTTTGATTGTAAATTGTTTTAAATATGTTTAATAATTATTTTATTGAGTGTTCATAGCCGTGTTGAATTTTTATTTTAACATTGTGCATACAAGTGTCACAAACACTGAACACCAAGGAACTGGGAAAATATAATAGTTTACATATTCTGTACCACTAAATCTTACACAATGAGATCTTATTTTTAATAATTGATCTAATAATTAATAGATGATGTAGTGACATACAAGTACAGTCTAGAAGTGCCTACCTTTTCTGTGGGAAGAGTGCACAACACATTGGAGTGGCAAATATCAAACTGAAATAAATAGAAAAAAAACCTGTTTATATACAATGTAATTTCAATAACAGCCACATCTCCTATAAAGATCACATATTTTTTTGAGATGATATATAGAATTGAACAATAATAAATTTCTTAAACTTTCTAGGTTTAAACACAAGAGGGCACACTGCCAAGTAGAGAAGATGATTTCTAATGATCTCACAATAATGATGCGCATACATGTACTTTGTACATACGTGCATATGTGTATAGTGATGCATATACGTGTACTATGATACACATACATGTACTATGATGCACATACGTGTACTATGATGCATATATGTGAACTTTGACACACATACATGTACTATGATGCATATATGTGTACTTTGACACGCATACGTGTACTATGCTGCGCATACGTGTACTATGATGTACATTTGTGTACTTTGACACGCATATGTGTACTATGATGTGCATACAAGTACTATGATGTGCATACAAGTACTATGATGCACATATGTGTACTATGATGCACATATGTGTACTATGAAGTACATATGTGTACCTTGACGTGTATATGTGTACAATGATGCATGTACAGGTAAACTACGACACGTATACAGGTAAACTACAATGTGCCTACAGGTCAATTATGACGTTGGAAAAGAGCATAAATAAACATACCATAGACCAACCAATCCTACTTGTACAGGTGCTCTCATGAATTTATATTGTTGTAGAAATGGCTTCTTTTCCAATTTACCCATTATTATTGGTGGGATGCCTAGAAAAAAAGTACTTAAACAGTTTTATCATGTTACTGGACATTTTTTTAATTTTAATGAGCGTTTACTTTAATAAAACACCACCTAATACTCATACATGTAGCTATATTCCATTTAATGTATACGAGTTAGCAGAATTAAAATGTTGCTAGATTTCCAACAATCTAATTGTGAATGTAGACTTCTTGCTCAAATATTATTAAATTAGCAAAGACACAGGTGATAAATTAGCTACATTTTAGTGAATAATGACAGTATGACATATTATTATACAATGTCATTCTTAATATTGGATAAAAAGGACAATATTTCAGATACAGATCTTGGCCATTTTTTGAAAAGGATGACTGTCTATTTCAAAAAGATGACAAAACTCTATTTTGGTGTTACGGTTGGTTCTTGGTTTTTATGGCCCTCTTAATTCCAGTGACATATTATGAACATGACTAACTAATAAATTACTTTTGATTGATAATCTGTAAAACGTTCTTACCACAATAGTAAAATCGTGCAACTTACCCATGCCAGGTGATGCCATGGCAACTCTAGAGAAGACAACCTGAGCTATTGCACTTCTAGCAGCTGCTTTGCTTACTCCCAATTTATTACCATTCTCATCCATAACTGTGATACCATTCTCTAGCTCCCTCATCCTCATCATTGGAATGTTAATACAGTTGGCAGCGGCAACAGCCGCAAATGGAACATAACGACCAATCAGTGGTGGAGCTTTCTTCAAGAAATCACATGAATAATATGCATCTCAACGAATGTAGACAAGGTGTTACAGTAGTACACAGTGTATAATCCAAACCATGGGTGGCCAATACAAACCAACCCTGGTTGGCCACTACAAATCAACCCCGGTTGGCCACTACAGACAAACCCAGGGTGGCCACTACAGACAAACACTGGGTGGCCACTACAGACAAACCCTGGGTGGCCACTACAGACAAACCCTGGGTGGCCACTACAGACAAACCCTGGGTGGCCACTACAGACAAACCCTGGGTGGCCACTACAGACAAACCCATGGTGGCCACTACAGACAAACCCTGGGTGGCCACTACAGACAAACCCTGGGTGGCCACTACAGACAAACCCTGGGTGGCCACTAC